TAAAAATATACCCGTCCACCTAAGTGGCATGGTTTTCAGCTGGTGGGAGGAATCACTGATTGACAGCTTTCATTTTTGCCTATGTAGAAATGAACATGATTTTGACAAGATGGTTTCCGTTTGTCAGTATTAGTTACTATAAATTGATGAAAGATCTGCTCATGTGTTGTCAACCTTGCAGGCTGTTGTAATAGAGCAGAACATACAAAAGAAAGCAATATAAAACATTGCAACGGGAACAGAATACTTATACACAATGATTTGCACAGTTGTGCACTCTTCTGTGGTTTTTTTTTCTTCATTTCTGTAAGTGGTGTATACTGAAATCCAGCTTATTTGGGTTTTCACAGTGTGTTCTTTGCCATACATGGTCAATGCTATATTTAAGTACTGTGTTATTCTGGCACAGCTACTTGTACAGCTGGACTAAATCCTATTGTGGCCATCAAGTTTTCAAACAAATGCTGGTTACACGTGGCCTTGCAGAAAGATCAGATATAGCAGAATGTTTGCTGGGAGATGCTGTTAAATCTATAGAGCAGTTGCTATATTCCATATTTTAGTGGGATATTGTTTTATTTATTCAGTTCAACTGGCCCTGATGATAACACAGTATCCTGCTTCATTTCTTTCATTACGCTGGGGTATTTAATTTATTTTCCCCCACTGATTATATGATATGTATAACTGAAATAGATAGTTTTGGGACAAATAATTGGTCAGTTGGAAATGTTCAGGCAATGTATTTTATTTTTTTATCTTGTCACATCAGCTTTATATGTAAATGGCAAAGCTGATGATCTTTACTTTTGTTCTGTTTGAGATTGGGATAGACTATTTCAGCACTGTTGGTAAAAAGGTTTGTTTTAAATAGGAGCTTCTGCCCTAATTTAGTCAGTCAGATGAGCAGTTATTAATATTATAATAATAATAATAAAAAAGTCACAAACCCAGCATGCGCCTCAGTTTGCGGTTCCATCCACCTGACCTGCTTCAATGGAGAGTAGTTTGCTCTTGCTGCTGAATTCACTGCCTTTTTAAAAGAGAACAGATTGTAGCCAGAGAAATGCCAGTTTGTCGCTTTAGGTTCTTATTTTGGGACTCCAGAGTGATTTAGCCTTTTATGTTGTAGAAATGGGAGAGTAGGGGGTAGTGACATCACTCAGTCCCAAAAAAATGCTGTGCGTTGTCAGCCCACAGGATATAGAAGCTGAGAGCATTTCTAGTAATTCAGAAGGTACTTTTTTATTTATTTATTTATTAGTTGTAGAAATTCTTAAACCATCAGGTTATGTTGCCACCTTTGGAGGTTGGGACACTGGCAAACAAACCGTTAAGCCAGCATCTGTTTAACCCTGCCATGAAGCGTCATGCATCAGTTTTTTTTGTAAGTGTTCTGCCTTTTCCTATATTTTTGCTAGTACTGACATTGTGTGTTAGGTGGGGTGTAACGCACCATCCCTCCACACTTCTTTTCCTGCCATTCAGGATAAAGGAAGCTCTACCACACTGCTGCTTCTGCCCACAAAACACCTTATATTTACTTCAGACTTTATGTCGCTTTGGGCACATTTAATGAAGCAGAGGCTTTAGGCGCACTTCGGCAAACTCCATGACAAACTCTTAGACTTTGTTCACATTATGCGATTTTGGATTCCCGTGGCAGGAATCCTAAATGTCTTGTTTAGCTGCGGCCACTGTACCCGTTAAAGTTAATGACCGGGTGACAGTGGCCGCATCTGTAAGCGTCAGTCCACATTTAATTGTATTTGATATGAATACATGCAGTTTGGAATAGATTTAAAGTCTAATCCTGAAGAGACCCTATTACAGCAAATTCCATATGTTTTAGAAGAAGTTGTTTCTAACCTGATTGATGAAGCGCGTGCCATGCATGCAGATGGAAGATCAGTAAGCTGTTCCAGGCATAGGGTTTTTATAGCTGTTACTGCTGCAAAGACCTTCCTAATACACTCTGTATTTAAAAGGATCCTCGATGAGGACTAAACACAACTCATGGAGTCATGGACTGCTGCTGACAATGTAAGGCAGCCTTTTTCTCTTTGAAAGGGAATTTATTGATAAGTAGTATCTGCCCACTACAGACTCTCCAGTCAGTTTAATAAGCATACCGCTAAGCAGGTTGATGGTGTCCTTACCTTAGGGATTTCACTGACAGATAGTTAGACTCCCTACTTGCAGTATGTCTCAGTTTGAAATAACTGGAGTAAATCTCCATCTTCAGTTGGTGGTGACTATGATTTGTTAAACCATGTCAAAATAGAACATATCCCTTAAAGGGAACCCCTCCAGCACTAGGTCAAATCCTTTTCTCCTGAAATTTTTGGAACAACTTAATAGAGCCCTACACTTCAGCTGTTATGGCCTTTTGCAAGCATCTAAGCTTGTGTCTCGCATGGAGTTGATCTCTGTTCACTTGTGTATGGCACTTTGGCTACATGCCTGGGACCCTGAGGATACACCTTAGAAACATCTGATTTACTTGCACTTTTAGGGACGTTTTTTTTTTAAAGTAACTTTGACAGTGTTATTCTTGATACTACTGGTCGACACACTGTACGCCTGCTTCAATGCAGGAGATCAGTGGATGGGGCAGAGGGAACCTCAGCTACTGCAGTAGTAACAACTAGTAGGCAATCTGAGTCTACATCCCACTCAAGCTGCAGATTCCAAAGCCAGAAACCCACTGTCTAATTTGCTTAACTTTTTGCAAGTTTGTTCATCCTCATGGGTCCCTTGGTAATTACCTCCTCAGAGCTTTGCACTCAGTTGTGCATATTCCCAGGTTCCCAGTTCTTCACACTGCATTCCTACTCTAGTAAGAGCCTTTTCTTGGGAGTGGTATCTCACTCGATCTTACAAGCCTTAATGCAGAGGAGTCCCTTTCCATCATGGATGACTGTATTCTTTGCAGTGCTTGATCCTCCTCCGCCCCATGCATCTCCTGGGGGGACCTCTTGACAAACAAGGTCAACAAGAGTCAGTCTCCATATTAAGGCTCTTCAGTGTCCACCAACAGTTCTAGACTCTGCTCAAAGTACTGACTTTTATGTTGACCTAGTACTTTTTCCTGGCATTCTTAGATTTGAATTAACTATTTAGTGCTAGTAATCTTTGGTCATTCATGAGTGAAATAGCTGGACTGAAATCCTCGCTTATGAGTCCACTCCCCATGGACCTCCCCTGACCCTTTTCTGGTGTGTAGCAGTTTTTTTTCCCCTGTGCACCCCTTACCAGTATGTGGTGTTTTGAGGAATTTCTTTTTAGAATGGTCCCCCCTTCTCTTAAGTCTATCAGTCTTTTTTTTTTTTTTTCCCTCTGAGGAGTCTGGAATTTGGCAAGGCACCAACTTGGTTTCTTCAGTCCAAATGTCTTAGGGTCGTCTGGGGATCCCCCTGTTGGTCAGCCTTTCGATTTCACATCTGCGAGAGACTTAATTTGGAGGACACAATATTTTTTTTTACCTCTGTGAAGTTATAAGATCTCCCCCTGCTACAGACTGGGCAACCTACCCCCTATGTTAGACAATGTGCATTGTCATTTGTTTCCACAGTCTTTTCTAGAGTCAAGATTTTGTCTTATAGAGCACCCTTAAGTTTTTGTCAGCTAAGGGTTCTTTCCTTCTCCCCATTTACATTTTACATAATATCTTCTTACAGTAGAACTGCAGCTAAAGCTTTTATTATTTTGTTTTGGACAGGGTAAGGGAGGCCTATAACCCCGTCAGCTTTTCTTCTGCCATCTCTGCCCCATTGGGGAGATTTCCCTTCACTTGTCATATGATCTCTACTTTGTTGGATCTTGAAGGACTAGTTTATTCACCATACCGGCATCAGAACTGTGTGCGTCTGTGCAACTGCAGTGTGATGCATGATTTTGGTTTAAAATGGGCTTTCAGGTGCAGTCCAGTGCATTTGCATACATTTTTGTTGCGTTGATGTGTTCCGTTGCATTCAGGTGCAGCTAAAATATGGCAAACAGGATTTTTTCTGACTGCACAGGTGTTAACAGAGCGCCAGAAATCCCATTGGAAAACGTTGTGATGCAATTTTGATGCAGCTGCCAAACTGAACAGACTGCATCACAACTGCATCCCGTGTGAACCAGCCCTTAGTGGTTTTTGGCCACCCTTCAGTTCAACTGCTTTTGGATGCCCCCATTTAAGGAATTTTACAATTCCTGTGTCCCTCAAGGGACGATAAAGAAAATAAGATTTTACATTTTTGGACTTACTAAAAAATCTTATTCTTGAAGTCCATTGAGGGACATAGTTTCCGCCCCTTTGTGTTGTTGACCGTATGTACTGCTTGCTCACAAAACTGAGGTATGACAGTTGGCGGCAGGCTTATGTGGGGGGCTAGCTAAACATTTTTTGTTTACCAACCTCCGGAAGGTGGTAATATAGTCCTGTTCAAGAATTCCCACGATTCCTTAGGCACAAACATCTTATTTTTTGCTGTACTTGCAGGTTCTTTAAAGTGATAAAACATAGGAAAATGTGATTGTATTGCAGAGATGTACTGCATATGTTTCTTCTTTTTTGTTTTTTATTCTGTCATACGCTACATTAAGGGGTCTATTTATAAACAATTTGCAGAGCCATTTGTCCTGTAAATCTCAGACTGTTCATTCTGTGCAAGTAGATGCAAAAACGAACATATTTTGTATATTTTCTTAAATGTACTTTAATACTGCATAAAATACTTAATTCCTATGCTCCTCAGCTCTATCTAGTGGTCATAATGCTGTATGACATTGCATTACATTCGACCTGAAATGAAAATAGACTAAGACCATTGCTTTTTGCCGCTATTTGCAGAGCACAAATGTTCCCAGAGTTTGCAATGGGAAATGGCTCTGCAAATTGTTTATAGATAGACCCCTAAACTTAAAAATACTTATATACAGACTAATCTGTAGCTATCTGATACAGTTCCTCTAAATGGAAAGTAAAGTTACACTGTGTATTCTGCTTCCAGGCTCTCGGCTGCTTATTGTACAAGCTTTGTTTTTTCACCCTTCCATTTGGAGAAAGTCAGGTTGCGATCTGTGATGGAAGCTTCACCATCCCTGACAGCTCTCGTTATGACCACAGATTGCATTGTTTAATTAGTAAGTATCTGTGTTGGCTAATATCAAATGTATAGTAAAATGTAGACAGCTAGGTGTACAGTCCCATTCAAGGCTCTTAGTCTGGTCCATTCAGCCTCTCTCCCCCTCTTCTCTAGCATGTATAGGATGAGAGGACGCCAAGGGACATACCATCGCTGCGGCGGAGGATGAGACAGGCTGGAGGGAGCACTCTTAACAGCCACCTGGCTCTGAGGATAAGGTGCACCTAGACCAAAACAAGCACTTAACCCTTGCAGTGCGGGGGTAGCCCCACTGCACGGGTTAAGAAACATTTTCTTAACCCGTTGTTCTTTAAATTTGACAAATGTACCATTTACACAGAAAATTACATTCTGAGGACATTATCAAAATCTTTAATATTTAAAAATGGGATCCTTTTTTTTTTTTTGCCTCATGGCAATCTAGTTTGCCTAAATGGTTAGTCTTTGTTTGACATTAATGTTAACCTTTGCACTCTGTTAACTTTTGTTTCCAGGGTATATGTTGGAACCTGATCAGGAACAAAGGCCTGACATCTACCAAGTGTCATACCTTGTCTTTACACTGGCAAAAAGAGACTGTCCAGTACCTAATGTATATGTGAGTATTTAGAGAAAATTTAAAGTGTACAGTATACAGTATTGCTCAATTAATCCTCCTATTACCGCTAACCTTAAAACAAGACAATATACAGTCTCAGGAAAAAATACAGTATCAGTAATTTCGAGCCGGTACTATGTGGCCCGCAGCCAGGTGACAAATCAGGTATGTGGTATGGACCACATACCTGACTTGCGAGAGCAGTTACACGGTCTGCATCTCTATCAGATGCAGCTTCGGCTGAAGGATATATTAGTGAGGTCTGCAGCAGACCTTACTAATCACCACTAGAGCACCATGGATCGATCTGCCTAATTACATCTAAACTTACAGATATGAATAGGACCTTATTGTGTGTATATTGGGGTCCGTAGTACCATACCGGATATAATTACATTTTATTTTGATGTACAAAATTTGGCAAGCCGGCCCCCATGGGAGAAAAAAAATGATCAATTGGCCCACGACTCAAATGAGTTTGAGACCCCTGTTATAGACTAATGATAAATGTCCCAATGGAGGAATGTGCACTGTACTATAGAAAGAAAGACAACTCAAATAGTGCATGTTGTTTTAAGCATTATGAAAACATTCCAAAATAAAACACAGTAAATAAACGCTGGGTACACAACTCCATGCTACCTCTCACATGCATACAAGCCCGGACATGGTCAATAGCGGCAAACTCCTAACTCTATCTGACGCATTATGGCCTAATGGATATCATCAAGGGCTGAAGGAGTGACGCTACAACTTCCATTAACTAGGTTAACCCCTACCTTACCTCCTCCATGACATAAGGAAGATTTGAATAATGATGTTGCCCATGTAGGAGATCTCAATAGAGTAGATTTATTATCTGAGAAAGAGAAAACTGAAAAATGGGGTGAAAATGATTTTTATTTTATTACTTAAACTTTTTTAACTCAATATTATGAAATAAAGAAAATTTCTAATAAACACTGACCAATTCTCAAAAGGCATACGGTTTTAATGGAGGTTTTACCTGAGCACCCCCTGCCTGGTAATGTATAAGACATGCTTTAGTACATTTATGTTTATACATTAAATTAATACATTATTTTAACTAAAAACATTGTTATTCGTGCAAGATGTACTATATGTAAAATCAGTGGGATGGGTTGGCATAAATCCTCAAAATTGACATAATTTGCAACTGGTAAAGATTATCTGATTGAAAATGTTATCACATGTAGCTCTCGCTTTGTGGTGCACCTCCTGCAGTGTCTGTGCAATCTATATGTTCAACACATCGCACGGACACTACAGGTGTGCATAACGGAACATATTTATAGTATTAAAGAAGGTTTGCAATCTCACACCTTGTCTTTGCATTTTGCCATTCAACACAATAAAGATACATCTAAAATATAATCTTTATGGCCATAGATAAATTGAATCCCAATTAGAGGGGTTGCAGCAAAAACAGAGATAGATTTAGATATTAAACTAATTTGATTCACAAACCTACACTCCACATAAACTGAAGGTGAAATGGGACATTAATTGTTTCATCAATAGTTGGCTAAACATTATTATTTTTTTTAGGTAAATTAGCTTTTTGAATAGTGAGAGTATGGGGATGATATCATGTAAAATGGTAGTGTTGCACTTGATTTAAGTTTGGCTGCAACTTATAGTCCCACTGGAGCTGAATTTCTTTTGTGTCCCCATTGGGGAGATCTCCCTTCACTTCTTTCAGGGCAGAAAATGACGGGAAATCTTTTCAGTAGAGAAACAACTTTTAAGAAAATGTTTTTAGCAAATGGGAAAGAGTTAGAATCTCTGTCAGAGTTACAGTATATGTATGTCTATGTCTTCCTGTCCCTGTGACAATTTCTCTCATTTCAAAAAATCTCCTGAATGGAGATAGTTTAGCTAGTATAGGGAGAAAAAAAAACATGTAGGGGAAGATAGTACCCTTTTGATGATTTAAAAATTAACATATAATTTGGTACCTTTTGCAATTCCCACTGTGGTATTTGATGTACGGGTTAAAAAAAACATTATCCAATAAGGATATTGTCGATGATATCAAGTCATATAAATTGGTCATGCTGGGTTTTTTCCCACTTTTATAAATCTTTGCTATTGTGTCTGGCAGACATTTGTGGCTACAAAGGGACTAAATGGATAAGATATATGGTTGTAAGTGTACTACAAATAGACTATACTTTTAGACTATTTTTAATCCGGAGTAATTTAGTAAAGGCATTTCTGCTTAAGGCTGTTTTGCCATTTACTTTTGGCAAATTATTACTAATGGGCAAAATGTTTAAATCATGGAGGACTAAACTTTTGGTGTTAAGGCTATTTCTTATACTGTAAATTGTAGGCTCCTAGTATTTCTTACATTTACAAGACACTGTTTTTGCAGGAGCACTAGATGCTTTTCTGATAAGTTGAATTAATGGCACATCAACAGACTGTCAATTGATTAAATCTTTTCTGACTGTTTTTTACAGAATTCTATAATTCCCCAATCCTTACCTGAACCAATGACAGCGAGTGAGGCAGCTTCTAAAAAGAGTCAAATCAAAACCAGGTAAGATTACAAGAAGATACCCACAGACTGTACATGTCATTGAGTAGAAACAAGGATTGAGGGTGTAGATACTCTAACCAGGCAAGGGATCTGCATTATGTCCAACTATTGTTTCACAGTAGTATAAGGTACCTTATGCCCAGCACCCTTTCCTTAACATCATCTCAACAGTCAGAGATAAACACTTATTTTATCTCAGTGCACTGGAGCAAACAAGATGAGATTTTTTTATGTTTGGAATGGAAGAAGTCCCATATTGATAAATAGGGTAAGTATAATTCAAGGGAAATGGGTGGTGTCCAGGGGGTTGAGGGGGCATGTTGTCTGAGTTGAGAAATCTGGATTGCATGTGGCAGAACAGATGGTATATAGGAATACATGTACATGTTTTTGATGTGTTGTGTTAAAGGAGGACTATGAGGTTAGGGCTTTTCCCCATAGTTCTCCTAAGGGTAACGGGAGCACACAAACTAGCGTCCTCCCGTCACCCAAAGCTCAGTATACCGGGAGCTACTGAGACGCTGCAGCTGAAACGGATCCCGACAATTATGTCTGGATCCGCCCAGCTGCGTGAGTGACAGCTGGCTCTGCCTACCTAGAGGCAGAGCCAGCTGTACCGCCCCCTCCCGTCCGTTCCTCCAGTCAGCGCTGAAGGATCGGAGCAGGGAGGTGGGAAACTCGGCCCCTCCCCTGTCACCGCAGAGAGCCATGACAAGATTGAGAAGTGGGCGAACGCCGGTATGTGTTCGCTCACTTCCCGTTCTACTGAGCAGACCTGTGACAGTTTCATTGTCACAGGTCGGCTAGAACTATGAGGATGAGTGAAAAGCACTCACCTCATTGTTCTCCTTTAAGACCGTTCTCTCATTTCACATGGGCTATCAGTGCATCTCAGCACATGGAAAAATGCATTTGCACTAAATTAAGCAATGCAGTTTATCAGTTTATAGATCTAACTACTCTGGCGCAATGGCATAGCTGCAGTTTTGTTTTCAAGTATATGTGCATTAACAGAGAATGGCAGTCATTGCATATACAGGTGAAACTCGAATAATTAGAATATCGTGCAAAGTTCATTTATTTCACTAATGCAACTTAAAAGGGGAAACTAATATATGAGATAGACTCATTACATGCAAAGCAAGATAGTTCAAGCCGTGATTTGTCATAATTGTGATGATTATTGCTTACAGCTCATGAAAACCCCAAGAACCCCAAATCCACAACCTCAAAAAAGTAGATTATTACATGCAATCCATAAAACAAGGATTGTACATAGAACAATATCGGACCTCTGAAAACTACAAGCATGCATATGTACTCAGTACTTGGTTTGGGCCCCTTTTGCAGCACTTACTGCAATTACTTTTGCACGATATTCTAATTATTCGAGTTTCACCTGTATAACTGTGGGTTAACTTTAATTGCAGTAATGTGAGTTACCACAATGTAGTTGTGTGAATGCAGCCTCATTGTTCCAGATTTTATATAAATGTTCACCGTTAAAATGTGTCCACAGAAAATGTTTGCAGCAGAAACGTATAGGGAAAAAAAAACCATATGCATAAATGGCAAACATGAGCACACAGTTGTGGTTGGTTTAATAAAATTACATTTAATCTTTAATATATTCTATATGCAGTACAGAGAAACAAAGAAAAATCCCTGGCATTGCACAAAATTTAAAACACAGCAAGGGAAAATGTAGACAAACTACAGTATTTGAAATCATTGAATCTACAGTTAAATGTATTTGTGAGTAACAATGTGAAAATCAGATTGCATTTATAACAAACAGTTGAACTGCAATTGTTTTTAGTTTATGTACAGTATATAGCCATCCACATTTGTTTAATATGTGCGTAATTCCAATAATTATCTATTAGCCTATTCATTTTGTCTCAGTTTTGGAAAGCTGTCCGTACTGCTTATTTGCAGAAGGGTGGTTGTTTGTTTCCGAAATTACATTTGTGGTGCCTTTTGAAGGCAGTAATAGACATAATGGGAGGAATTTATCAGAACTGGAGAAGGCAAAATCTGGAGCAGTTGCCCATGGCAACCAATCAGCTTCTCTCTTCAGTTTGTTCAGTTAAGGTGCCCATACACCTTACGAATATCTGCCGAATTTTATTTGCGATTGCCTTTTGTCCGATATTCGTAAGGTTGATGGGGAGTCTACAACCGCAAATACTGTACAATCGTACACCATTCGTCTTTCCAGCATGCTAGAAAATTTCGGGTGATTTGTAGGATTTTCGCAAGGTTGGTCGCGTTTCCGTATGTCAAAATTTGTAAGATTAACACTGCTCATGCGCAACCGAAAATCCATGCAGTCGATTTAACGAAATTCGTCCAGTTGATCTCTGTTGAAGACCGCTAATTGAACTGTGCGATGGTCGGGGCAGGATGGGGCCGCTGTACGAAAATCGTTCGACCATCGTATGGAAATTTTTGACTGGGCACCTTATGTATTTGAAAATAAAAGAGAGAAGCGGATTGATGCACAGCTGCTCTAGATTTTGTCTGCTTCCGTTTTGATCAATTCCCCTCGTAGTCTTCTGCACACTGCAGGTGTTATAAAACCTTCATCTCAGCAAGTTGTAACACATTTTGTTCCGTAGCTGAGGAATTGCATCATGAGAGATATTGTGCCTGGAGACTTTTTTAAAGTAAACAAAATCTTTCCCATACTTTGTTCCTCCCTATGATTGTCATTCACTTCAGTTATTAATCTATTTTAAATTGTTTAGAACTGAGCAATTATTTCATGGTCTCAGGGCTATGCACAAAATGTTAACCCTTGTATTATAAAAGAAACCTGTACCGAGAGAAAGATTTAGTCAGCCTTTTTAAGACCTCTTTCTGAAAATAGTTAGTTGCTTGTCTGTTCTGCCAATCCTCTGACTTGATTGCTTTTTGACTCTTTGACCTAGAAACAGCATGCATTTTAGGTGTTCTGACTTTACTTGTAGTATGCTTGTTCCATTCAGATAATGTTGAAGCAAGAGAGATCCTGGTATCCAGGAGTTCAGCAATGACAGGCTACATTCTTTCCAGAACACATTTTTTTTTTAAGACTGTAATATTACAATTTCCTCTTGTAATTTCCTGTGTAGAGAAAACATGATATGCCTGTTGTTTTGAAGACCCCTGCATATTTACAGATAAAAATGCCACTGATTGGTCTTTAGGGTGACGCAGTAAGCACACTACTTTAATTGTAGGGCTATCTCCTCCACTTCTGTGTAGAGGCACTAGCAGTCGCATGATAGGATTGTTTGCTGAGCAAAGTATATGAAAGTGGATCTGCACTCCAGGTTCCTACACAGAAGGAGAGATGTTCCTGCAGTGGAAGAGTTCCCCACACACACCGTTTGGCTCAGGTTGTCACCGACTGACACTATTTACATGCAACTGACACTACCTGGGTGAATGAGACAGTTCAGACTCCTGACAGCTCATTCATTCAGGATGAGCCTGCGCCTGGCCACAGCATGTAATGGTGTCGGTGGTGCATAGCATCGGCTTCAGACTGGGGGAAGAATATCGTTAGTAGCTATGGCCCCTCCACAGTTCAACTCTTGTCAGCTGTGTCCATTGCTTGTAGTTTACCAAGCCCTTTTTGCACAAGCTGGGGCTACAGGAAGCTTGCAGAGGAGACAGCCAGGATGTGAGACAGTTTTTAGTGATTGCCAGCACTGATCATGTTAGAATAGATAGGAGCAAAATGCAGGCTGCAGAGGAGGAGAGGAACGTTGGCACTTCCAGAAGTTTCAGAAGTGGCTCAGATCTTTTTAAAAGAGATCAATCCAAAAAAAGACAAAACATTACAATAACATAGGTTTCATGAGCACTGAATGTCTATTTGTATTGGATATATTAATGCTGCTGTGTGTGCTTTGGTGACAGGGTTACTTTAAGGTTTAAAACCACACAGAAATAAAAAGCTTTATTCAATGTAATTATGTATTTATTAAAGAAGCACTCCAGAAATCAAAACTTACCCTTGCAGTGGGGCTGTTAATTGTGTCTAGTGGGCTCAAAGAAAGCGGATATACTTGCCTAATCTTCAGCTCACCTCTCTCCCCCCTCCACTTCAGCTGTAGAATGTCCCTTGGTTTCCTCATCAAATGCAAATTAATGGACATGCATTAGGTCTGATGATGTCAGTGGTCCATAGACTGCTGGAGCCCAGGGGTGAAGAGGCTGCTGTAACCGGTCTAGCAGTCCAGTGGGACTGAGGATCAGGTGATTATATCTGCTTTATTTGAGCCCCTTAGACAAAATGAACACTTAACCCTTGCAGTCCAAGGGTAGCCCTACTGTGAGGGTATGTTTTTTCCGATTCCCAGAGGTTTTCTTTAAAATATACTCAAATATATGTTAGATTCATAACATAAATAACTAGTAGTAAAGTACTCCAGCTGGCAAAAGATTGGCCAGTGCTAGTGGCCAATCAAGCTTTGCTGCATGCACATATGTTGACTGGGAACATGACAAGAGAAAAAAGTGCGAGTGACCATATCAGTTTGTATCTTTCAGTACAAAGTGACAAACCATTCTTCTGTCATAACTAGCAATGCTGCTCAGGACCGCCTCAAGAAAAACTCCTTATTACATTGTCAGAAAACACTCTTTGGTATCCACCTTGCGAGAGAAGCAGTATCAGACTCTTTTAGTGATGGTGCTGATTGTTTGACTACCAACACCCAGCATCACTTAAATAGAACACTTAATTCACCCCAAAAAAAGCCAAACCTATAAGACTTAAAGGAAAAAGCACATCATTTTGTAGCCTATACTATCAGGGTTATTCACAAAAGTGTGAAGAGTTTGGAGAAGACGGGAGAAGTGAACAATCTAGGACAACATAGCTGATTTGGAAAAATTCTCCAATTCAGCTCACATTCCAGTTCAGCTATGTTGTCCTAGATTGTGCCTTCTCCTGTCTTCTCCAAACTTCACCCTTTTGTGAATAACCCTGTATATGTTTTATCAAA